CTTCACCAACCGGCAAGCTCTATAAACCAGCGTTTCTGCACTGAAAGTCTGGTTTACAGTGTAGTTGGTGTGATGCCGGCAGGGGTCTGGGGTGTGAGATGGGCTGTGGCATGCGCTCTGGGAGGGAGTTTGGGTCTGGGAGGGGGCTTGGGGCAGGGAGTTGGGGCATGGGAGGGGCTCGGGGTGTTGGATGGGGGGGAGCACTCACTTCTGGCTGCTCCTCGCAAGCAGCTCCCCCCCCTGCTGTTGCTGGCGGAGGCGCGGCCAGGCACTCTGCAGGCACACTGCTTCTGTCCCCGCTCCCCGAGCGCTGACTCCGCGGCGCTCAGCCCATTGGCCGGGAACTGCAGCCAATGGGAGCTGCAGGGGGCAGCGCCTGCAGACAGAGGCAGTGTGCCTGCTTGCAGAGCTGCCTGGCTGCCCCACTGCCAGGAGCAGCAGGGACGGGGAGCCGCTGGAGGTGGGCACCCCCAGCATCCCAAGCTCCTTCCCATGCCCCTGCCCCAAGCCCCCTCCCGGACCCATTTCCCCCTCCCCCCCAGAAGCCTGTGCCCTGCAATCCCTCCCATGTCCCTGCTGCCCCACACACCCCCTCTGCACTCCAAACCCCTCCCTCTGAGTTAACTGGCATTTTTAATTTACTGGCACTCCCCGTTCCTCCAGCATGCCGGTTAAAAAAGCTTTTACTGTACTTCTTTTCTGAACCCAGTTATAGTTCTGGCCTTCTCAACATCCCCTGGCAACAAGTTCTATAGTTGACTGTGCGTTGTATGAAGTAGTACTTCCTTTTGTCTGATAATTTCATTGGGTGACCTCTGGTTCTTGTGTTATGGAAGGGGTTAAATAATACTTTCTTATTCACTTCCTCCACGGCATTCATGATTTTATATAACTCTGTCATATCCCCTCTTAGTCGTCTCTTTATCCAAGCTGAATATTCTGTCTTTTTAATCTAGCCTCATATGGAAGCTGTTCCATCCCCCAGTCATTTTTGTTGCCCTTCCGTGTACCTTTTCAATTTCTAATATATCTTTCGAGATGGAGCAACCAGACCTGCACACAGTATTCAAGGTGTGGGCATACCATGGATTTATATAGCAGCATTATGATATTTTCTGTCTTAATATCCCTTTCCTAATGATTCCTAATATTCTGTTAGCTTTTTTGACTGCCACTGCACATTGAGCAGATATTTTCAGAGAACTATCCATAATGACTCCCAAGATCTCTTTCTTGAGTGGTAACAGCTAATTCAGACCCCATCATTTTGTGTATATACAGTTGGGATGATGTTTTCCTCTGTTAATTACTTTGTTAATTACTACATTTAATTTCATCTCACATTTTGTCACCCAGTTTTGTGAAATCCCTTTGTAACTCTTCGCAGTCTGCTTTGGACTTAACTATCTTGAGTAATTTTGTATAATCTGTAAATTTTGCCACCTCGCTAAAATTCTGATCTGGAAAAAGGGCTATACTGAGCTAATAAAATCATCTGTTGCAACAGAAACCCTGGTGTATTATTATTTACAACATTAAAAACAACATACAGGAAAGTTCTAATTCATATTAAATTTCAGTGGAACAAATACTATGACTATTCTAAATCTAAGTTTAACTATGGTAGAGGCAGAGGAGAACTGAAAAGGAATTATATTAAAATGTGAAACCTGTATGTATGAAAAGACCACCTTCTTAAAACAAATCCATCGTTTGCCTGAGATAGGAAAGAAGACTGTTTTTGATTCACTTTTACTTTTCTGCTAATGGATGATCTTCAAAGAGCTGTTGCGTTATATTAGAAACCTGTGAACTGTTAGTCGAGTTTATTAACATTCTCATAGAGAAACTAAATATATTTTAATGAATCTTCTCATTTTAGCTGTTCCACTGCTATTACGACCATTTTATCAAGGAAAGTTTTTTAACAATGTATACGCTTGTCACCCCTGTATTCAATGAGAAGGGCAGCCATCAGCGAAGAGGGACAAGTTTTTACAAATGATGTGCTTTACTGATTGACTAATATTGGGACATGGGTTGGTGACAGGAAGTAGGGTGCTTGATATATGACACAACACTAACCTTTGGATTGTTTTTTATGAATTATTTGGGGGGAAGGTTCCAAAGGTGAGATGGAGACAAAAGTGCTGACATTGATACTTACATTTGTGGTACATGATTTCAGAGGCAGGTGATATCACATTAAAGATGCAGTTATTTAATTATTAGTTACCTTTTCAAAATGGCGGCATATATGCTATTTGAGATGTGATGCATGTAGAAAAGTTCTTAATCGTTTTTCCTCTAAGAAGAATTTTCTAGGTTTTAAAAAACAAAACAAAACAAAAAACCACATAACTTAATGCAGGGGTGTGTTTGTTTGTTTGTTTTTTTGGTTTGTTTTATTTGATCTTCAAAGATAAGATTGGCTAGAACTTACTCTTGGTTTGCTCAAAGCTGTGTGTACAAATGGGATAGCTCAGGCCACTTATGCAGTGGAATGTAAGTGTCCCCATAGCACTCCATTCCACCAATTCCATTCTGATTGCACTTGATGAAGAAGCTGTGTTGGATAGCTGCAATGCTGTCGTCTGTGCTGCAACCAGCTCGGCTTGATGCCTCTTCTAATGCTCAGTTCGTGTCTCTTGTTAAGTTTTGTTTAACATTTTTTCCTCCTCATCTCCGTCTGTCTGTAGTCAACACCACCTACTTAAAGTCTCAGGACTTGACTCTCTTGCCTCCTGCTTTCCTGAAGCACTTTGCACTGGCTTCTTTGCTTGATACTCTAGGGGTTCTTACTCCTAGCTCCTGCTCCGTCAGAACTTTCACATCACTGTCTTCATGTGGCTCTTGTGTTTCTATGGTTTGTTTCTTTATTCTTTCAGGATACGTAAGAAAGAGCCCAGTAGTTTCAAGAGATATTTTGAGTTCAGTCTGACCATGTTCCCTATGGACAGACCCATCTGGTGTGTTCTCTGCCTCCAAAAGGACCATGATTTGCTCACAGACTTCACCACAAACAGTCAGGTCCTAGAGAGAGAACCAGAAGGTCCGTATTGGCTTTCTCTGAAACTTTCTATAAGTCTGGCAAGAAGCCTTGAAGGCTTCAACCTTGAGTGAGCCACAGTCCAGTCCCAATGGGTCAGTCTTCTACTTGTTCTTTTGGCGACTTGAAAAGCAACAGTAAAGGCTGACATCCAAGTCTGTCATGCACTCTCTGGCTTTTGGTGACTTGGATGAATCAAGGCTGTCCCTCCAGAGAAGGATCTTGAAGGGCACTGGTTCACTAGATGTTCCATGGTTTGGATGTCTTCTCCACATTCATGGCTGTCATCTGGTCACTAAAGCTCCGCATCAGTCCTTCTGATATCAGCTTGATGGAATGAGTCCAAAGCCCCGCCTCAGTACAGGTGAGGCATTCAGCTGAACCCCTGGTGTGTCTCTCTCTAGAGCACATTGAGGGCTCAGCACTTCTGTTATTTCACACACATTCCACAAGACCAAGTCATTGTTGAAGAGTTCACTTGACATGCAACCATCTTTGCCCTCCATTCCTGGAAGCAACCGAAGTGTCAACCTACCCCAGCCACATTCAAGTTGATGTAAACCACAGTCCTGAAGATAGGAAAGATTCATAGGTCTTATATCTTGAGTGCCTGGATACTCTGGTGAATAATGTCTTCATATCACATTGACTGTGTTGAAGTTTTTTGCATCAGCTCAAGTACATCAAAGCTGTGTCACAATGCTGATGCTGCCTGGACCCCTCAAGGCTGTAGGAGCTCTGTATGCACTGATATCCAGGAACCATACCCCATGCCTTTAGTTCTGATACTTTGTATTAGCCATGCTGTTGATTCCACTGACACAATCCAGGCCAGTAGCCTCTGTGCAACCAGTGTTGATAGATAAAAGGTGTTGATTAGCTATCTCCCAGCAATGACACAGCATCCTGTGATGTCAGCCTGAGATGCAGAGAAGAATATAAAGGAAAATTTTCAAGATTTTAACTTTGATATATGATAGAGGATTTGAGTGAGGGTAAATGAGAGAGAAGATAGTTAGTTACTTTCATTGTTAAAGATGAAACAAGGTTCCTAGAAGATGAAACTTCTGGAAAGTCTTAGGGAAACCAGGCAAGGGAAGATAAGTGTTCCAAAAAAGT